CCGCCAAAGACATTCCAGTTACTCAGAGTCCCAGCGTCAGGGAATAGACTCCTTGAGTTTCCACAGTGCAGCAAGTCTCCTCTTAACTTTGTCTATAGGTCTTTGGAATCTACAACTTTAAGTAAAATGGCATATAATTTAACCAGTTTTGCCATAGGCTAATTGGTATAAATGAGAGTTAAGTTCCTACAGTGTATTTCTTCCCACAAAAATATTATCATACTTCTAAACAAGACCAAAACACTTCTAGTGTTAAATATAATTGTGAGCTATACGTACATTTAAGAAAGATTCGTAAAAACAAGAAAGATAGCCAGGCGTGGTGACACCTGCCTGTGGTCCCAGCTACTTGGGAGGCTGAGGCAGGAGTATCGCTGGGGCCCAGGAATTTGGGGCTGCAGTGAGCTGTGATTGTGCCACTGCTCTCCATCCTGGATGACAGAGTGAGACCCTGTCTCAAAGAACAAAACAAACACAAACCCCACAAACAAGCAAAAAACAAGTAAGATAATTATTTACCCATTTATTCCAGTTCAGGGTCTCTAGTGGCTGGATCTTCTACAGGCAGCTCAGGGTGCCAGGTGGCACCGAGCCCGGACAGGGTCCCCTTCCATCACAGGGCAACCCCACAGGCACTCACACTGGGACCACGGGGACGTGCCAGTTCACCTAATGTGCACATCTTTGGGACGTGAGGAGAAACCTATATATGCAAAGAAAACCTACTCAGACATGAAGAGAACATGCAGACTCCAGACAGACAGCGGTCTAGCCAAGAGTCACTTGTTTCTCATCAATGATAGAATAAAACAACATTGAGGCTGGTCCGAAGGTAGTGAGTTATCTCACTTGATTGTTCACAGTCAGTTACAGATTGAACTCCTTGTTCTACCACTTAACGCCCTCCTCACTACTGCACTTGACTAGTCTTAAAAAAAAAAAATTGAACTAAACAATGTTATTTGAAGACCTGCTGTATTGACACTAGTTTGTTCAAAGAATGCAGCCAAATGCACGCTTGTTCATTCAGTATGTATTCAACAAACGTTGCCTGCAATAGGGTAGTCCTCGAGGGTAAAGAGATCAATTAAATAAAAACTTTATTCTCAAGGAGCTCACAGTCTAGTGGTGCAGTAAAAAAGTCAAGTGCATGACATTCATGGATACAAAGTCTTTTTTGGGGAGGGATGGGGACAAGGTCTCGCTATCTTGCCCAGGTTGGTCCTGAACTCTTGTGCTCAGTCTCTTGTCCCTCCTTGGCCTCCTAAGCAAAATCTTTTTAATATTAATAATAATGGTAAAAACAATCATGAACTTTTTTCAACTTGCAGTGTCATTTTTAATAAACTTTTTATTTTAAATAATTTTAGCTTTACAAGAATACTACAAAGAGTCCTGACGCACCTTGCGCCCGGTTTCGTGTTGTTAACATCGCTGCGGTACATTCGTCACAACTAAGGAACCAACGTTGGTACATTATTAGACTCCAGGTTTTTTTCAAATTTCCTTACTTTTATTCACACCTATTGCCTTTTTTCTGTTCCTGGATCTCATCCAAGATGCCACATCACATTTAGTCACTGTGTCGCTTAGAGGCCTCTGGGCTGTGACGATGTCTCAGACTCTTGTTTTTCATCAGCTTAACAGTTTAAGGAGTGCAGTTCAGGCACTGTGTCCCTCCCTTTGGGTGTGTGCAGTGTCTTCCTCACAGTTAGATGGAGGTTATGGGTTCAGGGGAGGAAGATGACAGGGGCAAAGTGCCATTCTTATTACATCATATCGAAGGTACATGCAGTTAACAGGACAGTCATTGTTGACCCCAGCTGCCTAGCTGGGGTGGTGTTCATCGGGTTTCTCCACTGTAAAGTTACTCCTGTTATTCTTCCCTTTTCATATTGTTCTCTTTTAAAAGAAGTTACTCTGTGAATTCCACATCTAAGGAAAGGGGGATCATGCTTCCCCTCCTAGGGTGAAGTATCTACATATATTATTTGGAATTCTTTTGCAGAAGAGATTAAAACCATTAACTTTTGTTTGGAGTTTTACATGAATAAAGCTCTTTCGAATACATTATTTTAAAACCCCTACTCTGAGAAAATTTGCAGTCAGGTTGGAGTGATCAGACTTATAAAGGAAAAGCTAACGACTATGACAACTTTATAAGAAATATAATTTTGTACACTCATATTCAGAGCAGCGTTTTCACAATAGCCAAAAGATGGAAGAAACCTAAGTGTCCATCAACAGATGAATGGATAACTAACACACGGTATATGCCTGCAGTGAAATATTATTCAATCTCAAACAGGAAGGAAATTCTGACACATGCTACAACATGGATAAACCTTAAGGACAGACATTATGCAAAGTGAAATGAGCCAATAGCTACAGTAGTCAAATTCATAAAGACAGGGCCGGGCATGGTGGCTCATACCTGTAATCCTAGCACTTTGGGAGGCTGAGGCCAGAGAATTGGTTGAAGCCAGGAGTTGAAGACCAGCCTGCACAACTTAGCAAGACCCCATCTCTACAAAAAATATTAGCCAGGCATGGTGGTACATACCTGTTAGTCCCAGCTACTTGGGAGACTGAGGCAGGAGGATTGCTTGAGCCCAGAAGTTGGAGGATGCAGTGAGCTATGATGATGCTACTCTAGCCTGGGCAACAGAGTGAGACCTGTCTCAAAAAAAAAAAATTCATGAAGACAAAGTAGAAAGGTAGTTGGAAGGTGCTGGGAGGAGGGGGGGATTGAGAGCTGTGTAGAATGGGCACAGAGTTTCAGTTTTGCAAAATGAAAAGAGTTCTGGTGATTTGCTGCACAACATTATGAATGTACTCAACACTGAACTGTACACTCAAAAATGGTTAGGGTAGTGACTTTTATGTTATGCGTATTTTACCACAATTAAAAATTTAAAAAAATACAATTTTGATTAAGAAGTATTTTTTATAACTAGCCCTCTAATAGGAACCTGCAGTCACGTTGTAGAAGAAAAGCTGCAAAGTGGTGCGGTGTACAGTTGCCAAAGTCTGCAAATAATAATGGTCAGGACTGCAGACTTCCTTGGGAAACCGGATGATCTGGCAACATAAGCCCAAGGGTGTCCCATGCCAACAATCAGCTGGAGCCGAGTGGCAGCCGCCACCTTGAGACGGGTCACGCATGCTGTGGTTTGCCAGGGCTCCCGCCACCTTGGTTGTGTTACACCTTGCTCATTTATTACTCCAATAAAAATAGCGAGTGGTTGGTGAGTTTTCTCCTGCTTAGGGACGTGGTATCTCACCTAGATCGCCTGTGCAGGGCTAGGATGGAATTTAAACACTCATAACTTTGTGTATTTAAGGTACTAAAATAACAAGTTATTTGGCAATTCCTCCGAAACCTTCATCTAAGCCCGCTCTTCCTCAGTGTAGACGAAAGGCCACAAGGGTGGACCAGAGAGAACTCTCACATACCATCTGGGCAGAGGAGGCTCCTGCCAGAACTCAGCTTCCGTTCTGAGAGCACCATTTTAGGGGGACCGTGATCCAAGCCTATCGTGATTCCTGCCTTACTCCTAATAGAGTCACTAACGTGAGCCACTGTCTCTCTGGCAGTCTCAAGGAAAACGCTTCTCAAGTGCTCGAATCAGACACCTCTAACCGAGAGCCCAGAACTTCAGCACAAACAAAACCAGACATGATACCAGGCTGCCAACGAAGTCCTACACTTTTATCCTACCAGTGCAGAGCTGGGATGCCACGTGTTTGTAAAGATGTGTCTGCCTCCAGCTGCCTCTGCTTCCCACACAGAACTGCGTCCCGCTTTGTAAGCGTGCTGAGTGACAATTTGTGTTTGGTACCATCTCTCCTAGGTGCTCAAGATGGTCCTAAAGCCAGGCTTCCAGAGTGGCAACACAGGCACTTTGGGGGCCTCACTGGCACCCTCCATTAAAAACAACAGCCTGCACCTCCCTCGTGTGTGCTCGGGCCAGAGAAGAAGAAAGGGTGTGGTCTGGAAGGGGGCCTCATTTGCTCCCTTCTGGGATCACAGGTCTGATCCCAAGGAACGAAGGCTGATTCCCCTAATTACATATACTCATACGTGGTCCTCCTGAGGTGGGAAAGGACACCTCCACCCTGTGGGACATAAAGGAGTGGCCATGCCCGTGTGTTGTCTCTGTGACAGATTTTTATTGGCTGACCTCCCAGCACCTGTGTGGCCCCGTACTCCGCAGCTGTGCTGTTGAGGTGGGATGAGGTCCACCTCTAGCTCCATGGAGAGCCAGTCGGTATATCCCACATCCTGGCAACAGTTCAAGGGTGGACACTTGTCAGAAAGAGACTAAATTCTAGGGCTTTTGACTGAACAATCAGAAAAACACAACTTGCTTTTTCCCGCTGCTCATGACCAGAATACATAGAGATCCAGGAAATCTGACATTATCTTGGGACCTCAGTGGCAGAGCTGTCCAGGAATGAAGTTGAGGAAAAGTTACCGAAGCAAGCAAAATGTAAAGAACCTCCATTTCTGGACTGTTTGGTTATACAAGCCAATAAATTCCCCGTTTATCTTCAACCACTTTGGGTTAGGTTTTTGGTCACTGGCAACAGAAAAGATCCTAATAAAGACCCTACTGAACACAATTTGGCCCTGCTAAGTTAGTCCCTGTTTCAATCCCTGTCTTCCTACCAGTCTCTCCAGTTTCATTCAAGCAGATCCATCCAGCTGCAGCCATGGTAGAACTTAGTCAATCAGAAAAAACATTCCCAATATTTATGTATTTTAGCATAAAATTCGGTTTAGTGGTTTACATTATACCTCTCCTTTTTACACACATCTTTTAAGGGGAAACTCAATCTTCTGATTTTAAGAAATGCAAATGTAGGGCGATGCTGTATCAACCCAAAGATTTTCTTTTGTAATAGAAAATGTTTTTGAAGGGGGGAAAATAGGGATTTTTATTATTAAAAGATAAAGGCAAATTTATTTTTTTTTAAGATACAAAGCATTGGAAACATTTGGTTTCACGATATGCCATTATTAGGCATTCTCTATCTGATTGTTAGAAATTATTCATTTCCTCAAAGAGAGAGAATAAATAGGGTGGGGATGCAATCTCGTACTGTGCACTTTCTTTGCCAAAGGCCAACGCTGAACATTTCGGCGCCGTGAGGATGCTTCTGCACGTGAGCTTGCTGGCTCTCGGAGCCGCCTGCGTCTGTGCCGTTCCCACAGACAGTCCCATGAGCACAGTGGTGAAGGAGACCCTGACGCTGCTCTCCGCTCACCGAACTCTGCTGACAGGCAACGAGGTGATTTTCATTTTCATTCCTACAGTCTTTAAAATGCACAGGTGACCGTTTGTGATGGTTCGTTTACTGTGTATAAAGATCTGTTAGAAATAATAAAATTCTGAGTGTGTTAGTAATACACAGGTGATAACCACATTACTAGCAAGCATTGTATTAAAAGTTATGAATGCTAGAGTGCTTTAAAGATGATGGTATTTCTTTTCCTTTTCAGAGCCTGAGGATTCCTGTTCCTGTACATAAAAATGTAAGTTAAATTATGATTCAATAAAATGACCATGTGCATAAGTAAATTTCATATTTTAAGCTGTAAGTCATGAGTTGTCATTGGAACTACCTAATTTTCTGTATTGTGTTTTCCTTGGGGTGGATGTGAAGGTATGTACTTAGAAATATTAGAAATGACTTTTTAACAAGTGGAATCCATTAAGCAAGTGGATCTTGCCCTCTGGTGATGTCGTCGGTTCTCCATCCCAAAGAGCCTCATGTCAGGGATTCTTTCCGGAGAGAATCCCACACTGGGTGAGAGGTGCCTCCTAGTCTTCGTTTATTTCTGACTATCTTCGGCCTTCCTCACTCTGATGTCTCTCTGAAAGTATTAGCAACTTAGAGTTATATTTTTAGAATCATGATCGGTAGACGTTAAAATATTCAACAAATGCCCTATAGTAATAATATCCACATATTTAAGTGATATGACTATATAATGGCATTGTATACATTTGGAATATGTCCTGGTCATATTAAAATGTAAAACACATAATTTCATTAGTCTACATAGAACAAAATTACCAGCTGTAACCGTAAAAGGAAACACTGATGTGAGTTCAATGAATAATGTCATAGCATTACACTTCCTAACACTTTATTTCTGGGTAAGCAGTTAATTTATATCACTTATAAAACTCCTCGGTAATTTTATAAAAGTTATCTGCTTTTTGAAATTTTTAAAATGTTTAAAATTTTTGAAAATTTTTTCTCAGTATGAGGTGGTGTCCCACCTGGAAAAGGAACAAACAAAAAGCTCTTTGGAGAAAGGAACTCACGTAAACACCACAAAACAAAGTCTAGCTTTTTAGACTAAAAATTTTTTTCTAATTTATTTCTAATTGACAAATTTAAAAATGTATATATGGATCACGTACAACATGACATTTTAAAATACATATACATTGTGGAATAACTGATAGACCAAATTTTTATACCTTGTTTTGATTATTTACATTTTAAAAAGCTTTAAAAATTGATATTTTGCATTTTAAAACTCTTCCTCATTTAGCACCAACTTTGTACTGAAGAAATCTTTCAGGGTCTAGACACACTGAAGAATCAAACTGGACAAGAGAACGGTGTGGAAAAACTATTCCAAAACTTGTCCTTAATTAAAAAATATATTGACCTCCAAAAAGTAAGTTGCAAACATTCAGTGGAAACTATGTTGGTCTGGCTGTGCCTATTTCTACAGGAATTGACTGTTTCCTACAATACCCACTGTCATTTCTGTTCACAGAAAAAGTGTGGAGAAGAAAGACGGAGAGTAAAGCAATTCCTAGACTACCTGCAAGAGTTTCTCGGTGTGATCAACACTGAGTGGACAACATAAAGTTGAGACTAAACTGGCTTATTATAGCCAAAGATTTTGGAAGAGGAGAAGAACATTTCATTGCAACGACAATGAGAACCAATGAAGGGTGGGGCCTTGATTTTCAGTGTATCTGAACTTCAGAGGCAAAGTGAATATGTCAGGCACACTGCTACTTTACCACCTCAAACAAGCAGAAAGCATAAAATATTTGAGATATATTTTCGGTATCAGAATCATTGAAGTATTTTCCTCCAGCTTGCTCCAGGCAAAATTGATGTATACTTTTATCTTATTTAACTTAACATTCTGTAAAATGTCTGTTAACTTAATATTATTTATGCAATGGTTAAGAAGGTGGTATATTAATATTTATTTCGTGTTATGTCATGTTCCAATAAAAAGAAACAATAGACTACTCTATTGTTCAATTTGCCGCTGGCCTCTGTCTCAACACTTGAAGTCAGCACAGTGCGTGTGAGCACATGCTGAGGTTTGGAGGGGTGTCTGAGCTCCTGCTGGCTGAGCATCCGCTTCTCTCCGGAGAAGTCCCAGGGTTGCAAGGCACACCCAGGGCGGAAGTGATCTAGCAGAACTGAATGGGGATGTGGGGAGCAGGGACACGGGCAGGAGCTGAACCTGGTTTCCTCTTCATAGTATACCCAGAGCCTAGGATGGTGCGGGGTAAAGGCAGAAAATAAATGAATGGGCTGGGCGCAGTGGCTCACACCTGTAATCCCAGCACTCTGGGAGGCCCAGGAGGGAGGATCGCTCAAGGTCAGGAGTTCAAGACTAGCCTGAGCAAGAGCGAGACCCCGTCTCTACTAAAAAAAAAAATAGAAAGAAATTAGCTGGACAACTGAAAATATATAGAAAAAATTAGCCAGGCATGGTGGTGCTCACCTGTAGTCCCAGGTACCCGGGAGGCTGAGGCAGGAGGATCGCTTGAGCCCAGGAGTTTGAGGTAGCTGTGAGCTAGGCTGACGCCACGGCACTCTAGCCCGGGGCAACAGAGTGAGACGACTCTGTCTAAAATAAAACAAAAATAAATGGGCTTTCCAGGACTGGCTGTAGAATTAAAACGAGTTGTAAGGCTTCCCCTGGGAGGAGAACAGTGCAGGTACCTGTAACTAGGTTTCTTCCCAGTCTATGAGAGGAATTTGGCAAACCAATCCCACTGCCAGTTCAGGGAGGGAGTCAGAAACCCTCTCTGCAGAGGCCAGCCAGACTGGGGCTGGGCCAGGGCCCATGGCCAGAGGGAGCTCTTCCTCCCCCATCTGACATCGCAGCGCAAGAGGAGCGGAGAAGTGCTGGTGGGCCGTCCTGTTAGAAAGGCTGGGTCCTAGCGGGCCCACTGCCCTGTATTCCCAGGGGCAGAGCAGCGCCAGGCAGAACAACACTCTACTCTGCCTGCTTACGACTACCAGTCGCATCGCCGGAGATTCTTCTGTTTGAGAAAACTTCTCAAGGATCCAGAAAATACTTTTAAAACTGAGACAGACCTGGAGGAGAGACCCAGCAACAATATTCAGCTATGCCATTAATTCTTTCATCGTTTCATTCAACAAGTATTTATGGTCACAGGCCCTATTCTGGGCGTGGGATACAGCTGTGGCCCGCGCGGGAGGTGCTCAGAGACCAGTGCCATTGCCCCGGCATTACCTGGGCAGTCTATGGCTTGCAGCCGTTGTTGGGCTCAACTGCTGCGTGAAGCGATTGCTCCTATGCTTCTGAGCGTGGAGTGGCCCAGAGCAGGCAGACACAGATTCCCAGGCAGGAAAGTGCAAGTCCTTTTGTGAACAAAGGCATGTTTTCCTTCCAGCACACACCCAGGCGTGGTGGCCAGGACCCCACCGTGGCACAGGCCCCCAACTTGCGCACATACGGAGCCCCGGGAGCAGCGGCTGAGCAGTGAGGGAGGAAGACGGGTGAGCGCGGCACCGCCAGGCTGACTGCTCTAGCAACCAACAGGAAACAGGAAACTCAACTTGCAGAAAGACTGACTCTCGACTTCATTCAATTCGGCAGTTGAGTACCGAGCTCCGGCACGTTCCAGGACTATTTTAGGGACTAGGGTTCATCAGTGAATAGAACAGATAAAATTTCTTGTCCTGTAGACTTACATGCTTTCTTCAGAAAGCTTGTTTTCCCACTTCTTTATCAGGATCCAACATAGTTAATGTGGATTTCAGACTGGAATATCACATCTGAAGCCCCACTAATGAACCCTCACCCATCTGCCAGGCCCCGGAGAAACTAAAAGCAATTTGGGCCGTTTGCAACTAACCGAAATGGAACTTCTCAGAGGTTCCAAGGCCTTTTAAGGCAGAAACCCTGGTTCTCCAGCTGACTCTACTGTCCCTGCAGAAACAGGCATCCTGCTGCCCTGACCGGAGGGAGGAGGCTCCTGCCAAGCCACGTGGACAGCCCGACCACCCGGGCTCCAGAACGCAGGGCGTCGGGGTGGGGCCGGGCAGGCTCCAGTTTAGGAGGAATGCTTTCACGAGTCTTGCCTTCCTCTTAAAAGTTTATCCCAACAGCAGAGAGTCTATTTTCACTTCGTGTGAGTGATGCCCCTATTGGGCCCAGTGGGAGGAGCCGGCGGGGGCTGTGGGGCTTGTTTTTGGAGGCACACAGAGGAACCTTCCCAGGGAACACTCAACACAACGCGTCCAAAACGAAGTCGTTCTCTGCCAGCCACCCTCATGCCACGAAACCTGCTGCTGCTCACCCCCGTCCTTTTCCCTGCTTCCTTTGAGGTTTCTTCCTTTGGCTAACATGCTATGAGCACCTCCCCATCACCTTTCTGGACGACCCCCTGACTTTTACCCTCCGTGTCCCGCCTCCCACCCACACTTGGCCTCTGCGATGTCTCTGATGCCCCCGTCTCCGCTGCTCGGCTCAGCCCCCACCTCTGCCTGGACGCAGCGGCCGCCAGCTCCTGCAGGCTCTCCCCACACTGCGAGTCAGGCTGTCGACACACACACGTCCACACGGCCGCATGTGCAGACACCTCCGACGCTGCCGCCTGCCAGGCTCCTTCACAGGCCGTGTGAGGGCTGCCCGCGCCCCCCAGCGCGCAGAGACAGAGACGCAGGCATCACCCGCTTAGCACCACTGGCGAGAAACATTGACCGGGAGCCACATTCCTGCTGTTTTCAATGGGAAAATCACATTTGCATTACGGCTCGACCCAAAATCCCCAACCCATTTCTTAAAGCATAAAACACAGTAAAATGCCTAGATATGAGCAACAAACACATTCGGATGTAAAACATTTTGTAATTGTATTCGCTTATTTAATTGGGGTAAAATAGGCTGTACAATGTTTAGGACAGCACTTCCTGATCACTCAACAGTTCACACGGCTGTTGCTTGGTTTGTGTGACGTGCCGCGTCCCCCTGAGTCGACGTTCAGAGCCTTCCTGATTGTCTTCCGAGAACTCTGATTCGCTACCAATTGTATTTGGAATAAACCTGACGATTTTTTTCCATTGACTCCCCTCATCGCTTTGTTAAAAAATGTGTTATATTTGGAGTATATTAATATAACATTTTATAAATATATAAATTATATAAATATTGGTGGGAAAACATCGTGCTGAGAGACACATCCTGTGAAGAAACATTCTATATGGAAAACATTAATTGGGAAGATGTCCTATGGGAAATGCTAAAGTCAAGTGCAGAAGCCAAAAAATTTCCCTGTGACTAGCTACCTCTGAGCAGAGAAATCAGTGCTCAGAGCCTGGAAATGGCCCCACTTCCTTCCTTCCTCTCAGCACAGCGCAAGATTTGTTTCTAGACAGAACAAGCCAAAAGACCAGCCCCTTGCAACCATGCACCAGAGTTACAGCAACCAGAGTGGGAGGAAACGGCTCGAGCCCCTCTGAACTTTGAACAAACACTGGGATGGAACTCATCTACCTTGGCCGCTTTCCCATGGGGAAGATTCCGTCCCTCACCACTATTGATCGTACCTTCCAAGAGCAAATTTCCCCAAGTCCAATCCAGTCTTGCTCAGCTGGAAAACTTCTGAGAGCTGAGTATGCCATTGTTCTGTTCAAAAATGTTTCCTGGATCCCCAGTACATACAGGAAAAATCCACAGGAGACAGGGAAGCTAAAATGAGAACATCTAATGTGTATCTAATCAGATTTCTAGAAAGAGAGAGCAAAGGAAACAGAGAAGAGGATAAATAGTAGAATAAATAAAAAGAAACCCACACCCAGATACATCGTAATAAAAACCTAGAATGCTAAAAAAAAAAAAAAAAAAAAGAAAGAAACTAAAAAAATCTTAAGAGCAGCCGAAGAGAAAAGACAGATTGCCTAGAAAGAAAAGACAATTAGACTGAGAGCTGATTTCTCAATAGCAAAAAAAAAAAAAAAAAAAAAGGAAGTTAAGAGAGCAAAATGCTACTTTCAAAATGCTGAGAAAAAAACTATTAACCTAGCATTCTATGATCGTGAAAATTAACTTTACAAATAAGGCATGAAAACTACCTTTATAAATAAGGATGAACTAAAAATAGTTTTAAAAAGAAACTTTAGGCCTGGCACAGTGGCTCATATTTGTAATCCTAGCACTTTGGGAGGCTGAGGGGGGAGGATCACTTGAGGCCAGGAGTTCAAGACCAGCCTGGGCAACACAGTGAGAAGCTATCTCTACAAAAATTAGCCGGGCATGGTGGCGCATGCCTGTAGTCCCAGCTACTCAGGAGGTTGAGGCAGGAGGATCGCTTGAGCCCAGGACTTTGAGGTTGCAGTGAGCTGTGATGATGCCACTGCACTCTAGCCCAGGCAACAGAGAAAGACCCTGTCTCAAAATAAATAAATAAAATTTAAAAAGCTTTATTTTTTAGAGCAGTTTTAGGTTCACAGCAAAATTGAGCAGAAAGTAGAATTCCCATATACCTCCTGACCGTCCCCACACAGACTCGCCCTCTATCAACGTCCCCCACCATATGTTACAATTGACAAACCTACACTGACCCTTCCTTATCACCCAAAGTCCTTAGT